AATTAACATTATTAATGCTTCGTTAAACTTACAAAATATTTAATTATAAATATAAGAATAGCCATTTTTAATAGACAAATAAAAAATTGTACAGATTTTAAAAAAACACAATCATAATGACTGATTTTAGTTATTATTAATGATGATTACTTGGTTGAAAAAAAAATCTCACAGTTAATGGATATAAATAAATTGCTACAACAGTGATGAGTATTGTAGGGTATCATTGACGCGACCAAGAAACCAAGTTTTTATTTCGACTCGAGCGAGATCCGGTGTACTACTGTACACCACGAGGTCGTGTCCTTTATCACGTCAATAAAGAGAAATTCCACAATCGTTACAGCACTCGATGGTTATCGTGGCGAATTGTTCGGAAAAGGGGGAGCATCGGTTTATTAGACGGTAAATAAAATCGTGTACCAAACGAACGACCGTATCGAGTTTCTTTTAACCGTAAATATCGACAATACACCTCTTTTCTCCTTCCATCCCTTTTATTTCAGCCTCCGGGCTCTCCCTATCTCTTTCTTCCGCTCCTCTATATTTCCCCCCCCCCCTTTTTCGATCGTCAAATAAAGAGCACGAAGCTGCTTTGATTCCCCCCTCGCTCTCCTTTCGTTTCCGCTCGACTACTTCTATTATTTCAAAACTCCCCCCCCCACTTTTTTTTACAGCAGCAATTAAAATCTCGTTCTGCCAGTAACATATACCCCATCTCATACGTTTCCTTGCAACGCAATATTTTTAAATGATCAAACCGCGAGTACAATGTAATTATGATCGGGCAGAGCCGTGGAATTTATACCATGATCCCATCTCTTGAGCGAGTGACCCGCAGAGATAAATTATGTGTGCTATCTCGAGCGATGATTGCCAAACTGTCGCTTAAATGTTCATGGAAGCGATGCACCGCGCGTACGAATAAAATTATCACTAAAATTAAGTTTATATACCAGCCGAGGCGATAACAGGACGTGCTCGAGGTTTTGGAAGATAATTAAATTTATCGCGGAGCCGCTGCGGTCGAACTTTTTTTTATTTTATATTTTACCCGCGTGTAACGTACATCTGCGTAATTTATATAGGCTTGTGTTATCGTGTGCCAACCTCGATGCTGAGGCGAATGAAGGCACTGAGCTCGCGAGTGACGAGTCGCTCGTTGCTTTCGCGCGCCTCGCAGAGCCGTAGTCCCTCCGTTAGTCGGTGACGGGTGATTTCTGCTTCAAGGCTCCGTTGCTCCTGACGCGAGTCCAGCCAGGCATCCACGTATTCGGACTCGCGGCCCGACAACACGCCGAGCCGCTCCTTTTCGTTCTGAGGAAAGGCAACAAAATAAAAAAAGAAGATTAGGATTTTTGGTGCAACGATTGAAGTTTTTGGGTCTATAGTTGGGACAAACTTCGGGGGTGTGTATCGATTTTTCTTCCGTGTCGGGAAAAAAGGAAACTCGATTCCTCGTACAATCAAGTGCCAGTCGCGTGTCAATGTTATCTCCTAACTGGCTATTGATTAGGAAAATTTAACTGCGTGCCGCTTATTGCAATTCAAAGGCGAACACGAGTGTTTTCTAAGTTTCGTTTATTAAAATGTTCTCTTGTGTTAATTATACGAGGAAAATGTTTTTTCTTATGTCAAAACGGACACGATATGATAACAAGTTTGCAGGGTTGTTAATTAGTTTGTGCATCGATACAGAAATTGGATATTCAAATGTTTCGGCTAAATTATCGCTGTAATACATCCCCGAGGCATCAATTACGCAGTAGCCAATCATATACTTCGTGACTGTGTGCATCGTTTCGTTTTTCGAATGGTATTGAGTTTTGGCTTTTTGCGCGTCGATGAATTTATGACAAACAGGGTGAAGGAAAGCCACAAATAAGTCAAAATTGTGTCAACTGTTCGGTTTTTGAATTCTTTGTTTTTTGTGACCATGTAAGCTACTTACAATATTCAGACTTTTTTCCCTTTATTATTATGATTGCCATAAATGATGAAATTTAATACAAGTAAATATTTTCTTCATCACAAAATTTAATTCTCTCATGTACATATATGTAGGAGCAATAGCAGTTTAGGTGGTAGGCAATACTATTACTTATATACATACACCCCTTATACTCTATGCATGCGGTCCTCCTGCGTCAGCACGCCATCGATTCTCATGCACCTATATTAAGGTCCAACTCTCAGTACCATCTCCTTCATATCATTTTTCGATATACGTATGTAAAAGACATCGTACATGCNTATAACCATAGTAAATAAAATTAAAAAAAAAAAAAAAATCATCGTTTGAGGAAGCTTTGTGCCAAATCCCAAATTGGCACCTGTTCCTAATAATTCATATGCAACGTATTTTCAATATTTATATTCCAACTTAAATGTATACAAACTGATTCTCTTTCCATCAATTAATTTCTAAGTAAGACACATCTAGTCTCAAGTATTAAATGGCATTGGCATACGTATACAACACGCACGCGAATTTATTACATAATATCTCTTCTAACAACGTCATCAGTCAGCAGCTCCTCTACATGCAACGACACAACACAACAATCAAATACATTGTGCAGATAAATTTGCAACTAATGTTGGTACGCGTGAGTGTGCGACACCGTTATAACCACTCACTTTACGTTTACGACATCGATACCCACACATACACGTGTATACAGCCATATACCATTGAGTGTCGAGATGTCAAGAGAGTTGGAACTCCGTCAAAGACGCCTACATCGACCGCATATAGGCGCATATCGTTTGATCGCGCTACTAAACCGCGACTTTTCTTCGGGCGTTGTAAACACGTGTTGACTAGGCAGTGGTGAAAAGCGTGGAAACTTTATACATGAGCGCAAACAGATGCGCTAGTGCGCCACTCGACTTTGATCAAACCAGTTTGTAAGGAGAAAAAACAAATATCGCGAGCTCTGTTGTTCAGTGCGTGTAACTGTGGTGAAGAAAAAAAAAAAAAAAAGAAAAAAAGAAAAACAATAAGGAAATCGTGTCTCTATATTTTGTTTTTGTTTTACTCATTATATTTACTTCGACAGCTGTCTTTTCTCTGTCGAGGTAATCGTGATTTCATGGCTTTGTTTTCCCACTCGAGAGGAGTATGCGTGTCCATTGTTTGTTTTTTCTTGTTGAAAAGTGATTTTTCCCCTTTTTTAAAACACAAATTTCAACTCTATAGTTACGTGCGCGAACGCAACACGACGCGTGAATAACATATGTATTTTGGTTCTTTTCTTTTTTCAGCCGGCGAAATGTCAACTGCCAAGGATTTTAAATTAGAGCTGGTGCAAGTTGTAAGTTTTAACAATACAATATATAAAGACGACGTGTGGCCTGTTGTTTTCCACACCCACATGTACGCGGTAGATTATTATTTTGTTTTTTTCACAACGTGATGCTCTTTTAACAAATTTCCCAACCGATCGGTGAATCTTTAAAATCGCAAAACAATAGCTGGCAAAAAAAAAACACGCGCGCTATTTTATTCCTTCGTCACGCTACATGTGTACACACCAACGCAACGGCGAGACAGCCTTCGTAAAATTTTCCAGCACCGCAATGTATATATACTCGCGTCGGCGCACAAACGCTCCGTATCGAGGAAACAATTATTTATGTACAAACGAGGTGCGCAGCTTTTCAGGCATGGCGCGAGGACGTGCAGCGAGTCGGAGGCCAAGCTCCCGATGCCCGCCTACGTCGACCAAGAGCTACACCGAGCCCTCGGCTACGGGCAGCTGACCAATGTATATACATGTGTACACACGCACCCATCAGTTTGTAATTTTTTTTTTTTTTTCCCTCTCCCCCCATCACCTCAGGTGGGCAAAGCTCAGGCGTACGAGCTCGGGCGAGCGCTGCGCGAGCGCTACGACGGGTTCTTGGGCCCGAGGTACCGGCCCGAGGAGCTGCACGCCCGCAGCACCGACTACGATAGGACGAAAATGACCCTACAGCTGGTCCTAGCTGGACTGTACCCGCTCCGAGCCGAGCAAAACTGGAGCGCGGACCTCGCTTGGATGCCCATTCCTTTTCATTACGCCCCGCGCGAGCTCGACGTGCTCCTCCAGTCGTCCGAGAAGCCGAGGTAATATACGATTACATCACGTGCACGGTTTCGGGGTGGAGGGGTTGATGCCCGAGGTTTTATTTTATACCTACTTGTGACTCGCGCGTGCATGTATAGGTACAAGAGGCTGTTGCACGATTTGCTGAAATCGCCGGGACTGAGGGAACAGGTGGCGGAGCTCATGAAGTTCAGCGAGTTTTTCGAGTCCAAGGGGATCGTCGCCATAAAGGAGTACGCGTTTGTGGCCTGCCTCGGGATATTCAACGTATTGAACGTTCACGTTGAGTATTTTTTTACACCTCTTTTGTGCACAATATGTCGTCACTTCCGTATAGGAAACAAAAGAGTACCTCTCCAGCGAGGGTTTACATTTCGATTTTTTTTTTTTTTTTTTTTACTGATGAGTAATCACAATTTCTTTCTTTATCTCTCATCGGTGTTTTTTTTTTTTTTTTAATGATTTTGAAAAGAACTTTCAAGGGTAAAATCGTTGCGATTGCAATAATATACCTTGCTGGACAATGGCCACTCATTGGAAAACGTAAAAATTTTCAACCGGTGTGACGATAAATGTTGGACAAAGCAGCGCAAAGTACAGATCGGTATGTATGTTGAAAATCGCAGAAATCGGCCGGAGCGAGGCTGCCGGATTGGTACACGGAGGATCTGTTTGCGCAGCTGCTGGAAAAAGTCATCGAGTACTTCGACATCAAGAGCGCGACCGGCGAATTGATGAAACTCGGGGCTGGTCCTCTGATCAAACAATTCGTCCGTAACATGAATTTGACCGGCGAATCGAGCAATCCCCGGAAAATTTACCTGTACAGCGGCCACGAGATGAATATCGCGCCGTTCACGAGAGCCCATGGAATACGGGAGTTCAGGTACCCTGATTTCGCCAATGCCGTCGTACTGGAGAAGTTGAGGGACTCCGAGAACAAGATTTACGTCAGGGTAATGATTACACGAGACCTAATAAAAAAAATGATGAATTTTCAACGTGGAAAGAAAAAAAAACAAACATTTTCAGATGCTGTGCTGGACCGGACAGGGTGGATTCACCCCGTTGAAACTAGGGAGTTTCGACGAGTACTGTCCAGTCAACGAGTATTTGACAATTATCGAAAACATCATTCCGACCGACGAGGAGGTGGACGCCATGTTCAACGACCGAAAACTCGAGCTCAAAGAAATATTCGTGTCCGACTTTGCCTTCAGGCCAAAGTACAAGCAATGACGTTTTCCACTGCCGTCTATAGATCCACCCATATAGGTAACACATGTTGTATATTTTTGTACAAATAATCCAAAGTATTAAACACGTAAAATACGTATGTAATATTATACTGTAAAAACATATTAGTTATTTCAATAAAAACTCACGCGTAGCCTCAACAATTCGGCTTTACAAAGTCTGTCCTCCTTGGCGCGCTCTTCCCTCTCCTTCGCCACGTTTCGGCGCATCTGGTGAAACTTGTCCAACAGTCCTCGTGCCCTCGCCAAGAGCTCGGCTTCCTCGGCTCGAGTGGCCAGCTTCTTCTCGACCTCGTCGATCAGGATGCCGAGGTTGCCTTCGAGAACTAGAGATTCCTTCGCGGAGTTGAGTAGCTGCTCCAGCCACTGACTAAAAGTTTTTTTTTTTCTTACGTACTCTTAGCGGTTGACGAGCGGTTGCGTGTTACCTGTCCTGTTTCAGTTTTTCGAAATTAGATTCCTCCGTGGCCATTTCGAAGGCAGGATGATTCGTGTTTCCCACTTCCATGCTGTTTGACAAAATCATCAAGTCCCTTAGTTTTCTTATTTGTACGGTTTTCAATAATGCTGAGAGACTCGCTGCTTTTTTTCCACAATTGAACCTATTTTTTCCATAACCATTTGCTTACATGGACGTACATTTTTTTTCTCCATATACCGATAAAAATGTACGCACAAAATATCATCACTCGCATGTATATATTATGAGCTACATGTTATCGCACGAGACACGCAACGCAAACATAATCATGCTATACCCGAAACACGTGAAACTCGATGTAGGAAAAAAAAGGCGTACCGGTAGCAGTGTGTCCTCACCGTAGTCGTCAAACCGGGAGCTCGTTTCTCGAGGACGCGTCGGTAAATGGCCAGCGCGTCGCCGCACTCCTCGAGCGCCGACAGAGCCCCTGCTCGCATCGCACCCGACAGACGCGCTGCTCCTACACGAGCGGCTGGTACTTTTTTCTCGACCATCGTATACCCTTTCCCCCCCCCCCTCAAACAACCCGGGACTTGTCGAGCCGCCAAAGGTGCATTCACTTTGACTGGACTTCTCGTCCCTCGGTTCTCGATTTCTTTCAAAAACTTCCAGCTCAATCGAAGCTTCAATTAAAAAAACTCGTAGTTTCCCAATTACATTCAAAACGAAAAAGGAAAAAAAAATCGGTTGGATCGGCGCATTAAACGCGTATTTTTCATCCCACGGCCAAAAACTAAAGCACGCGCGCGTACTCTCGAGGCGTCACCATTGCTATTGTCGCCCTTTGGACACGAAAAAGGTGGCCGTGCCGCGTGTGGGTGGAAACTTGGGGGACTCTCTATTCGCTCGTTTTTCTCTCTCGCTCGACGATTAAGTAATGCCGTGTGGAGAGAAAGTTGGAGGGAAGTCTGCTTGGCTTGATTGTTAAATCGATAGTGTACCAACGGCAGAGGAGTTGTATGGGTACCGGTAGCGGTGGTGTATATGTACATACGTCCAGTACTGGTGCACAAGCGCGCGCCCCCTCCTTGTCCGATCTCTATATTAGCTCGAGCTTTCGTTTGTTTCCCGTGTTTTTCTGAGCAGTCCCGTTTAGGACACGTTCGTGGGATTCGTTATTTAATCGTCATCTCAATTCATACCAACACGTTATTGATTACAAGGCATGAATAAACCAGCAATGCAAAGGCTTCGGGTTGCACTCATTAGGGAACTTCAAAAAGGGCTGTAAGACGAAAATTAAAAAGAAAAAAAAAAATCCTCTTCTCTCCTCTACTCCGAGTTTTGATGAATTATCATATATCCCCCCAGTTGAGAAAACCCATGTTCCGGGTAATATCAAATTAACATTATTAATGCTTCGTTAACCCGAGCCCGACAGCCTTTACGGATAATAACGTTACAGGAGGAGAATGATTTAATTACAAAGACTCATCGTTTTTTTTTTTTTTAATTAAATGCGCTGCCAACTAAAAATCATCAGCCTGACGCAACGCCGACGCGAAATCCGGAAAACTGTGAGTTAATGAAACGTAATTTTTAACATTTTATCGATCGAGGAGCTTCGGCAATCACCGATCCGAGCGCGCGAATGGGGAGTTCCAAGACACTTTTTCCGTACCCCTTTTCAAAGCAACGACCCGTGACAATTTAAAAAAGTAACGTCAATCTCCCAGTGGACTGGAAAATATAATCTCCCCCGTAAGAACAATCAAACAAAATCGCAAGAGGTGAACTTTCGTAATCTCAAAGCTCGTCCACCGACGACTTGCTCGGAAAATCGAGCCCAAAGTGCCCTCGAAAAACTTTTCTCCCCGCCCCCTCTTGCGAATCAAACTATTCGTACACCATATTTGACGAAGGCTTCCCGCGACTTTTCACGCACCCCTCCACTCGGAGGGAGGGAGGGACCGTGGAATCGAGAGAGAGGAGCAAACGCGGCCGGGGGTGCGTGTTCAGCTTTGATTGAAAAAGTTCTTCGCGGCCGTGGATGGAAGGGTAAAGAAGCAGGGGGGGGGGGGTTTGGACTTTAATTGAATATCTGCATTGTCCTGCGATCCGCTCGCCCCCATCTCCTCTATAGACGGTCCCGCGAGCTCGAGCGTTCATACGGCGATGATGGCTCTCCATACAATACGACTCGGACGAGGATTTGAAGGACGCTTGCCTCCGACTGCTCAATCGGGAGTTTTGCCGAGTCGATCCCTTATTTTATTTCCTTCTTTCTTCGAGATTGCGGCGGCTACTAGAGTTTAATATTATCAACACGTTGCGCTTGGAGGGTCATAAAAATATGACGTTACTCGTGCAGGTGTTATACGTATACGTTTCTCTTTGTAATGTACATTTTCGTGGTAACGGACACGAGATGTGTGGTCGATTCTAACGATGGAAATTCAATGAACCTCCGTAGAGAATGACCAAAACCTCGTCGATGAACAACGCGTTAACGAGGGGCGCAAAAACGATCCAGGCCTTCGATTGGCCTCATCCAAAGAGACAGTAGAGCGCAAAGAGTCACTTGGATTAGCCCGGTTGTTCATCTCTCCGTGTACATAGGCACGCACCACCAGAATTGCAAATTCGAGTTTGATTGCCGTGCTCTGCCAATGTAACAGAGAGAGAGAGAGAAAATCAGGAGTGAGAGAAAGGGTCGTGTGTGCGATATGATGGCTGGCGCGCAGAGTCTCCGCGCGCGTGTATCTTTCTTCTTCCCATCCCTCTCCTTTTGCCGCTTCGATTGGGAAGCTCCAAGTAAGACAAGGACGTGATGCCAAAGTGGGCACATTCGCGCGTATCACGAGACCGTGCGACTGTGCCAGTGGGACACGCAAGTGGGAATGCACACATTCGTACGCTCGGCGTGTGACGCGCGGGTGGGGGAAAAAGCGAGGGAAACTGTTGGACTGGCGGGGAAAGCGCGGGTCATGTGTACATGTAGGCGTTGACTGTGTAACAATGACATTTCGAGGAGTTTTTTTTTTTTTTTTTCTTTTCTATAGTACACCCACGTGCGTTTTGAAGGAAATATAATGAGGTACAGTGTAGTAGCGCCACAACGCGATACAAGATGCCTCGCGACATTAATTGAGGAACTTGTTGGAGTGCACTTACCTAGGGAATCACGAGCGTCTCGACTATTTCCATTATTTTCATGAAAATATTCCTACTTTGAGTTTTATAAAACTCAATCTGCGGTAATTCGTTTAAACGTGAATCTTAATATGCACCTACAAACGAAGGCAAATTAGTTCCAAGACTGATTTAAACTCCAACCGCAAGTAAAACTGAAGTATAATTCGCTGTAATGGTATATTAGTAGGACTGCACTTTAAAAACGAGGATCCTTGTAAAAAGCGACAAAAATCAAATAACTATTGAAAAAATTGTTTTCATCTTTCAAAAGCGCGTTCATCGAGCTGAGGGCCTCCAATGTTACCTTGTTTCATCTCCTAAGTTTACATAACAATAATACATATGATAATAGCCGTAGGTATAATAGTACAAAAAAAATGTACAATTTTTACTTGCTTTTTCAAATAAAAATCTCTAAATTCAGAAAAATATACTAATGTACTCAACAATCCGTAAGAGTTTAATTTTGTTTATTGCAAGCTTATTCAATAGATACCTCGGCTCTCTCTCTCTCTCTCCCACGGTGGCAAACAAACACCACACACAGATAAAAAGACCACCCTCGCGTATCCTTCGTCCAGATCGCACACACGGCATTTTTGCAAAACACCCTCCGTTTCTCCTCGCGACACCCACCCACACAATAGAGGAAGAACGGATCTGCGCACCGAGGGCTGCGCAGCACGACAATCACCCCGATCCCCCCCCTCCAAAGGGGTGGGCGAGCAAAGAGAGAGAGGGGGGAGCGCAGGCATGCACGCGCCCCTTCGACTCGGCCGCGCAGTCGGTCCCCGGTAGCCCCGGTGACACCGTCTCGTTACACGTACCTTTGTCGCGTGTATACACACACATCCAACATATCCGTTCGCCGTTGGTCGATCTCGCGCCGTCATCATCATCATTCGCCTCGTCCCAGTACTTGCGTTATCGTTCAAAAGTCTCGTGCGCGACGATTTCATACTTCTCACGCAAAACGCGGTTTGTTGATTCATGTAAAAACCAACGATGATGATGATGATGATGATGATGATGATGATTAGGTGCAGTTGATACAGGGCAGTGGTGGCTATTGTTCGTCTCCGCAAAATATAAGAAAGGAAGGAAGGAAGAACGGCCGCTCAACCACCGGGGAGCGGGACAGAAGGTGCGACTGCTCCGGGATACAGGAGCGCGGGCCAAATATCTGGTTATATAATCCCCCCCTAACTAACGGTCCTCCGTCACTGGGAAATGGGAGTGTGAAAAAAGTGCGCTGGAGGACATCGGCCGGCCCATTCGGTGTGCGTGCACTCGATGGGGGATGAAAACGCGCGATCGTAAACAAACCGTGTATCGGGTGTACTTGGGATGCTCCGTGTACAAACATGTGCGCGTGAGGAGATGTATACACGTAGGTATATATAGCGGAAAGTGCGTAACGCGTCGTCTGCTACAGCCGCGTGCACTTCCACCAGTTGTAATGTATATAGTATATAGGACTCTTTTTATGAAACACCATAGCGAGCGAGCGCGCGCGCGCGCCCCCCCGTGCTTTGTGTATATCTCTGTATACGTTGCAGTAAGTAGTACGAGTCAACGTGTGGTCGGACGGACCTTTATTTTTTTCTTCTCTCTTATACGATTCGTGGTAATAGAGAGGGAGAGGGAGAGAGAGTAAAAAGAGGATCGGTGGTGTAAACTGATTGAGTTCGTGACTATGCCTGGGCAGGGAATAGTATTCTACTCCTTGGCTCGGCATATCGATCAAGGAGGGAGGAGTACAATGAGGAAGAGAAGGGGAGAGAGAGATACCTAAGCGCTTGCTCGTCCGCGTGTAATACGTATACGGGCTCCTACGTGCGTTTATCCGTTTTACGAGTATGGTGAGGGCAGTTGTTTACCACCTTATGTCTCCAATGGTGACAATTTTTGTTGTTTTTTTTTTTTGTTGTTTTTCTTCATTTTTCTGAACTTTGGGTGTTTGACGAAGCACCTGAGCACGCGGAGGTTGTTTAGTGGAGGCTTCCTTTTTTCGGTTGCACTTCTTTTCTCATCCATACACCTACACCCCTACCCCCTTACTTTTATACTTACAGGCCGTTGTGTACTGCCACACAGTTTGTACGGCCCGTGAGTTTGTGGGTGTTGAGGGAAAAGCGGGTTAAGTGCAGGCGGTGAATGTACTCCCAATGAGGAAGGGTACGCGAGTAGAGTAGGTGGTTGGTACGTGTCTCTCTTTCTCTTTCTGTACGTATACATATATATAAGAATGTGTATGTGTGTTTGTGCCTGTCATCGACGGCGGTGATGCAGCTGCTGCTGGTAGTGCGGTCGAGTTTTTACACGAAGGAGCGAGTACTCGATGCCGCTGCAGCGTGTTTGCCTGGGATAATGTTTGCGGCGAAGGTTTTTTTTTTTTTTTTTTTTTTTTATCTGTATACGCTTCACGAGGGTGTCGAGAGCCTTTTAGAGGTTCCGCGCGCTGACACGTGGCTCCGCGATGTTTGTTTGCTCTTTTTTTTTTTTTTTTTTTTTTGAACGGTGTCACCAAGCGTGCGCGTATACGCACAAAGCGAACAAAGGTTGAAATCGCATTGTACATCGGTTTGCGGTGGCAACTAAAATTAATTAAAAAACACGTGGTGCTCTCTCGTTACGCGGTTGGAAAACAGAAACGCGATACGATACGCCTCGCTCTGTTATTGTATTTGCCAAAATACACCGCGATATGGTATCGAAAGGGTTTGCCCCTCGTGTGCTTCGTGTGCACATATATAATCTGTTATTGTCATCCGATTTCTGCGATACGCAAATAACGTCCAATTAAAACTGACGCTGTTTGCTGAACTGAATATTTCACCCCCTCCCCCCCCCCGTAACTCTCTCGCGCGCGTATACTTTGGATATTTCGACAGAGTTATCGCATTATCTCTCACCCTCTTTGTGGTACGTCCTGTATACCGTCCCCGTACCCTCTGTCCCTTTTGTTCGCGCCTTTAATTATTCTTTTATCCGCGTAACTTGTGCGAAAGTTGATTAAAACTATATGCCGCGACCAAAGACAAAGAACACCAAAGTTTCAACCGTCTTTGGGGTGTAGTGGTATATAGAGGTATTATATATGCCATTCAAGTGCACTTTTACCCGAACCACCAAACAGCTCTCAATGCCCCCGCTATTGGTATTTATTTTGTACGATTGGTGTTTTGCATTCGTTATTTGTGCGCGATACAAATTTCACAGGGGCAATTCGTTTCACGGAATATTTCAATCGTGCGTGTATTGTTTGGTCGATATAAAAACCTTTCGAGTTGAAAGCACGTCGTTATCACGAGGTGTAAAATAAAAATTTCTAAAGGCAGATCACGAAATCCCGATGGATCTCCAGCGTAGGGATGATAGCCGATGATCGTGTCAAGTCCCGGCCAAAAAAGACACCCGATAGGAATCGCGCTTGTTTGACATCGTCATCTGCATCTATCCCTCCTTTTTTTTCTCTCTGTCTTCAGAACACACGGAAATGGGAACGACGAGCCGCGGGCCGACAAAGACGACGCGGACGATCTCAGGAGTCCCCGCGTAGGACACCAGCGACGTGTCGTGCGTTTGTTTACTCTTAGCATCTTCTCCTACTCCGTCTGTGGCCTCCCTGGGATTTACCGCTGCTACTGCGCCGCTGGATGTTTTTTTTTTTTTTTTTTTTTTTTTCATTCAGCATATCCATACACTGGTGCTTGCCGCCAACTCGGCACTGTCTGTCCGAGCTTCGGTAGTTAACATCAGAGGTGAGTGTGTCTTTTTTTTTAATTTACTTTTGCATATTATCCTTTTTTTATTTTTTTATTGAAAATGGTACCCACGAAGGTCACTTACCATTGGTGTACATTTTGCATTTTGAGTAAATGTAGATTTTAAATGAGCTGTGTGATGATCATTGATTTACATGCTGTGCGAATGAAAAGTCCGCATCGTTTTCCAGCTATCGTTTAATTTCAATGATCCATTTCTGGAAAATAAACACCTTCAAACGTACATACGTATATCGTCGGAGCTTTGATAACACATCGGCAACGCTCTCGACCCCGCCCTGCTCCATCGAAGTGAGGGTCCCTTGGAAAAGCAAGGGGAAAAAAAAAAAAAAAAAATTGCGTCACAGAGTCCTCTTGCCGTAACCAAACGACGACCAAGATAAATCGATTAGCTCCATCTTCATTTTTCATTCTTCATCTCTTCGTGAGGGGGGTGGGTAAGAGAAAAGGCGCGTAAACTAATTCACCGGCGCTGCAGCGCGTAAGACGCGACTCGACGTTGATTTATTGGCGTTGGCGATACGCGTGTATATATAAGGGCCACGAGTCGTGTTTGATACCTTCCTCATCCTCCTCCTCTCTCGGCACGGGGTTGGATACAGGGTGAAAATATTCTCGGCCCAGACTTTTAAATGCTCCCCGGGCGTTGATCGAGTACGTTATATAGACATTTAACGCGCGAAATCTCAGAGCCCCGATGGAGCTCGGGATATGGGTCGCATATATTATCCAAGTTGCTGCTTTTGATTCCCTATTTATTGAACACGAGCTGTGCGCGCCAGCGGCGAACTAAAAAAAAAAAAAAAACAAGAAGCTCTTGGCTCGCGCCGAGGCAGCGATTGTCAATCCGTCTTTGAAACGCGGCTTTGCTCCTCCCCCCTTTGCATGGGAGGCTATGCGTGAAATACGGCAGTGGAGCTTTAAAACCCACGTGCAGGGCGAGAGTACTTTTGGGAAATTAAAAATTAATAAATGTTGGGGTGACGACTGTGACCTACTTTTCCACAATAAAAAGGGGGAGGTGAAGTTTACGATGGCTTGAAATGAAAAATTGGGAAGGAAAATTGTTGTAAATACGGCGGGTGGGTGTGAGAAAAAAAAAAAGGGGGGGAGGGCTCGGATTCGTTTGAAGTTTGGGGAACCTCGCCCAACTAAACTAATTATCTGGCGCGTCGAGGCGTTGATTACGTGACTTTGAAAAAGGCATTCGTGGATTTAATTAATTTCGAAAACTCGGGCTGTACGATAAATAGAAAAAAAAGCAATTAAAAAAAAACAAAAAAAAAAAAACCGAGAGTCAGGCGCCTCTCCGCCTCGATAGAAAGTAAAAATGAGGAGACGATTGGCGCGTTAATGAATATTTATACAGTTATGTATACACATATATACGTGTTTGCTTTGGCCTTCAACTTTCGTTATTCTGATGTACATATATATTTACTCGGTGGTGGTCCTTCTCGGAGCACAAGCGTCAAGAGGCAATGGAATTCACTTGTCTTTGCACAGCGAGGAGGAGGGGGAGGAGGGGCAGCGATGTGTTTTTAGTTGGGAATTCCTTTTCTCCTTCTTTCGCCTCGTTGAAAGGCTAATTCAGCGGGGGACGCTCGTTTCTTCGTTCGAAGGAGCCAAGGGACGACGCATCTGCAAGTTTTATCAGCGCTGAGAGAGAGAGAGAGACCGCGGCCGTATAAAAAGACAAAGTTGATCGAGAGCTGCATAAAATCTCATTTTCCTAGTACCTGCAGGTATACATTAAATTAATGTTGCCTATGTATACCTATACACACTGTACACCGCGTAAGAGTTGTGCAAGACGATTCTTCCCGAGGGCACGCTTATTCAACCTGTCGAATTATTGTACAATTATTTCGGGCGACTCAGCTCGAAATGGCCGTCGAAGTTATGTGCACCGGGGGACGGAGGCGACCGAAGTAATGAATCGAAAACGTCCGAGTGAGAGCACCCGTCCCTATATACACCCGGGTATCTCCGCCGAGGTGATACCATTCATTTCGCGGCCGTGACGTAATTTATCAAAAAAGAGCCGAGAGCTGTATTTCTTGCCCCCCCTTTTTTTCATCCGGGGGAGGGTGAGAAGTGCTTTTAAAATTTCATGCTTTTCGCGGACGTGTTGCATTAGGGAAAAAAAAAAAAAAAAAAAAAAGAATAGTCAAATATTGTGGATACTCTTTTGTTCGGCGCACTTCAATCGAGGCTACCTCCCCCAACGATCACCTTCGATAAAACTCCGGCGTGGGATAAGACAGACAGGCTTCTTCCTCTTAACGGACGCTGTCTACTCCGCTCACCTCCCGAGGCACCGAAAAGCCACTTTCCTCCCTTATTCTATCTTCTA